TATATATATATTTAGACTCTCTCTCATGTTTGCCCTCCCGGCAAAAAATTCCTCATGTTAAAAACTTAAAAGTAGCTTAGGACATAAATTAAGATTAACAGCTAACAACAGCAACGCATGAAGTTAACAACTCTACTTGGTATATACTTCAACCTGAACCTTCTCTTACACATGACTGATCTCTCCCTCACTACTCCCTACCTGGTGCTTATATGCAAGGAGTTCCAGGGGTATTTATGTGAATTATCATTTGAAACTTGCAGTCAAACTTGAGAAATTAAGAGAGGTGAGTGAAATTGAGGTGCTTCAGGAAATGTTTGTTTGGTGGTGGAGTTAGTTTGTAATGTATGTTATCATGAAACTTGTATATGCCATCCTTGCTTTTCTTTGATATTCCCTTTTTGTGATACATGGTACTTATTTCGTGGAATGATAGTAGCCACATGAGCAAAGTGCGACTGATCCAACATAAGGGAACAGTTTTCTAAAGAAAAAACTGAAAAGCAGATATACTGGTCATGATCTTTTTTGGAACTTCAGTTATACTGCAAGTTTCTGGTGCTTTCTTCCATTAGAATGTCTGAGATCCAAATTGCATTCAATAACCAATGTATGTAGTTTCTATATTGCTGCTAATAGCATAATATCTATGATTCCGCTGGCTTTGAGTTCTTCTTTTATGCAAGTAATCAACTTTAGTTCTTTGTCATCTCTATGATTTGGTTTCCGAGGCATGTTGTCTCTAACCATGTTTATGCAATTACAGAATTATAACCTGGTAACGGCTGTTCTAACGGGGCCAGGTGTTATCTTCATCCAAAGCATGCCTTTTCATAGGCTTTCTCAACACATTGCTAGGTAAATCTCCTAGCAGCACCAGCAATTGGAACTAGTTGAACTATTAGACAGCCTTCCTGTCAGTAAAACTCTAGCTTTGGAGAAAATTGATCAGTTGTTTTGTTTCTCTGTTGCAGGGCAGTAACATCTCCAAACATGAGGGACAATCCCAGATTCTTTCTTCAGATAGCAATGTTTTTCTTTATAGCTTATGTTGTCATTGTATCATCTTTAATCTTAACTTATGTTTGAGCCTTCTTATTTCTTTTTTGTTTCTGTTAACATTCTATATATCGTTCTTTGTCACTTTTATTTTCTTTTGGGTTGACCAGCTTTTAAATCTTAGTTGCAAATATCGAGTAAACATTCTAACTTGTACAGTATCTACCTTAAAAATTCAGATCATAGCAGTGGCTTTTCTTGTCTTAGAACTGCATGATTTGTCGCTGTATTGAATTCAGTATGTTATGAACTATTGAAGAAGGTTCAATGCCTGATGTCTTTGCTTCAAATGAAGCGCCGAGAAAAGAGAAATCTATTATTCTTTTGTAGAAATTAACCAACTTTACCAGTAATAAAGTATTTATAATCCTCACCTACATGAAAAACAAAAATGGATTTTGTAATCACTAAAATTCAACAATTTCAAAATTTTAGTAGCTTAAGCAATTGAATGAAAAGTTGACGTGGACCTGGCATATTACATGTTTGTTCCTGCGCAATAAAGGGCTCTTTACTCAAATAGTCTGTCGGATTCTGTTTACTCTTTTAGCCGGTATACATAGTTATATATTGATTATACATAAAACACATGGGATCATTCATATATTATACATTCCTTGGCTATTTTTAGTTTAAAAAGTTGGGTGAACGGTTACAACAACAACAATCTAGTAAAATCCCACAAACGGGGTCTGGGGAGGGTAGATTGTACGCATACCTTACCCCTACCCCGAGGGAGTAGAAAGCTGTTTCCGGTAACCCTCGGCTCAAGTTGGGTGAACAGTTATTTAGGTTAATACTGCATATACAACTCCAATACAATTGCCAGCCGATGAACCAAAAGCATTTAAGTGCCTCCCAATGTCTACACTGGTGTTTGGTTATGCTACCATTGCTAGGCTGTTTATTTGGTTTTGGAAAAATGTACCCAACAACGCTATTCAAACAAGACTTTGAAATATTTGGCTACATATATTGGTTTATTGAAACATGAGTTTTTGTTATAAAATACCCTTATGTCCTACTACTTAACACATACTCAAAAAAGAGAGGAGAAAATGAAATAATTCATTTAGGGGTCGTTTTTTTACGCGAAATAAGGTGAAATAAAGTGTGGGATTAATAGCCTGTTTGGCCAAGCTAAAGAAATCAACGTATTTTGAGAAGTGCTTTTTTCAAAAGTGCTTTTAAAAAAAGTACTTTTGGAGAGAAACACTTTGTGTCTGGCTAATCACTCTGAAAATCACTTTTGAGCAATAATTTGTGTTTGACCAAACTTTTCAGAAAGTGCTTTTAAGTATCAAATTACGAATAAGGACATGGATAAATTTACTTAATAGTTAATATTATAAGTAAATAAATAATCTTAAAAATTTGTTATTACATGCAATAATTAAATCTTTTTATTTTATTTAAGATAAATATGAAAATAAAATTTAAAAGTACTTAATTCTTTTAATATAAGTTAAATATATTAAAAATTATTCAACAAATATAAAAGTATTCACCATTAAAGTCACTATATATTAGAAAGTTATCCTAAAAATAATAAGAAATATTTATACATTAATATCCTAAGTATTAGGTTTAACCGTTATTTTGGTATATAATATATTTTGTTAAGGATATTTTTGGTAAGAAGAAAAGTCAAAATTGCTTCTGCTTTTGGGAAGAAACTACTTTTTTCTGCTTCTCAGAAACTGTTTTTGCTTCTTTCCAAAAGCACTTTTTTCCCCAAAGTTAGGGAAAAAAGGTATTTTTGAGAAAAAAATGTATTTTTGGCCTCTTAAGAAGCTTGGCCAAATATGCTATAAATTTATATCATATTTGATTGCCGGTATAAATTTATAAATTTATGCCATTAACTAAATATGGTATAAATTTAATCTCAATCTTAATACAAAATATCTCATTTTATCTCATTAAATTTGAAATTATATTATTTCACCTTTCAGGTAGAATAAATTAGTCCAGCAATTATAATCTATTTAGTGAGCGTACCAAACTACACTGGTTAGAAAGAGTAGGGTTAGCCGGTTAGGTGGACTCTAAATGGCGGCACTGGTCCATTAAACTGGCGGCTCGCCTACTTTTTTTCATCCATAATAATAAGGCCCAATATCTAATACTACTAGTAAGTACTTCCACCCTATAGCGCGCGCACACCACTCTCTCAGGAAAAATTAGCAATCTCCGAAGCTTTCAGCAATGGCGGCTTCATCAACTCTTTCCAGTTCCATCACCACCTTCAAACTGTCTCCGTGCCAACCACGCGCCTCCTCTATTACCGCCTCCGTCAAACTCCCTTCGATTTCTTCCAATAACCCTTTCAATCCCTTAATTTCTCATTTTGGCCCAACTCCGGAAAACCCCACCGTCGCACCTCTCCGTTGTTCCGCCGCCTCCGCCACACCGGAAACCACCACCACGACCGCCACCACATTCCACGGCCTCTGCTACGTCGTCGGGGACAACATCGACACTGACCAAATCATCCCCGCAGAATACCTAACCCTAGTCCCGTCAAACCCAGACGAGTACAAAAAACTCGGGTCCTACGCGCTGTGCGGACTCCCTTCATCCTACCAAACCCGTTTCATCGACCCGGATGAATTCACATCCAAGTACTCCATCATCATAGGCGGAGACAACTTCGGGTGCGGGTCGTCGCGTGAGCACGCACCGGTTGCTTTAGGAGCCGCGGGCGTGGCGGCGGTGGTGGCGGAGTCGTACGCTAGGATTTTCTTCAGGAACTCGGTTGCGACAGGCGAAGTTTATCCGCTTGAATCGGAAGTGAGGATTTGTGAGGAGTGTAAGACGGGTGATGTGGTGACTGTTGAGCTAGGAGAGAGTAGGTTGATTAATCATACGACTGGAAAAGAGTATAAATTGAAGCCAATTGGTGATGCTGGTCCTGTCATTGAAGCTGGTGGCATTTTTGCTTATGCAAGAAAGGCTGGAATGATTCCTTCCCGAGAAGCTTAGTTTTCGAAGTGGTAATTGATTCAGTTCACTAGTTTTCTTTTAAAGTTTTGTACTTAGGCTTGCTGAAAACAGATGATTGCATAATAAATATGGTGTTTGTTGTATGATTTGGAGAAAAAAATCAGCACCTTTAAAAAGGTGTCTTATGTTCTGTTATGCCTATTTCAGTATAAATCAATGGATAAACAACATATGAATCCGAAAATAGTTGGGTTGACTATATGATCCTCGGAGGATTTGTCATGATTCATTATAATTAGATTTTTTTATGTTTACTGTCAACTTAGCATTGTTTCTCCTTTATCCTAGCTTGAGACCGCTTTACTTTGTGACATGGGCGGTGTTATGTTTTATCAGAAGAAAAAAAGGAAAGATGTAGGCTGTGTTATGGTGGTTGCTTTATGATTTGGGAAAAAGAATCAGTTATCCTAAAAGGGTATGTCAGAATGTTTTCTTATGCTTATATCAGAATCATACTTGAAAGATGTTTGTCACTACGGCAACTTCTAATTTGAAGATACCCGAAGAGCCTTACTTTGCTATACTTTGCTAGATCTTTCATGTTACTAAAGTTCAAGGGTTCAACTCATATTTGGCCTTATGCATGTCTCACACAATTCCTTCCCCGCCTTCCTCAAATTGTCTCAACAAAGGAACCTGGTCTTTTTATAAAGACCTTCAAAATTACAATTTGGTCCTACAGAAACTTAGAGAATGGTTCCTCAATAAACTTACAAGGAAAATGATACTAACTTTAACTATCTATTAGTGATTATATTTAGGTGGCAATCAGGCAAATATCTATTAAGGAAATTAGTGACTTCCTGATGATTAATAAGGTTTGAACTACATCGAAGGTCGTCCTTGACCAGTAATCAAGGTTTAGATGAAACTAGAGTTGATATGAGGAACTGCCAAGTAAAATAACTGCTGACATATTGTATCAAATAAAAGTCAAGTTCTGTTGGCATTGGATTCTTAAGAGTAGAGCAGCATTGCACTCAAGGGTGTGGCCTAGTGGTCAATGAAGTGGGCGAGAACCATGAAGTCTCAGGTTCAAATCCCAGCGGAGACAAATACTAGGTGATTTCTTCTATCTATCCGAGCCTTGGTGGATAGAGTTACCTGGTACCTGTTGCTGGTGGGAGGTGGCAGGTATCCCGTGGAATTAGTCGAGGTGCGCGCAAGCTGGCCCGGACACCATGGTTATCAAAAAAAAAAAAAAGAGTAGAGCAGCATTACTTGAGATGGTTTTAAAGGGGTTGGGAAATTGACTAGGATATGATTAGTGGATTTTACTAGGGATGAGCAAGAACAATCATTGAGATAGTTCGCTATGTTTCAAAAAAATGTTTTTTGGTTGATAAAGTTGGGGTAAGATCCACCGAAGTGGGTAGCCTTAACCGGATGTGTGTGGCAACACGTAAAGCCCGAAGGCTGTTCCCGTCCCTATTGGGGAAGATGCCAACCATCTCTTCTTTCTTCGAACACATGTTTGATGTTCCAAATATAATGCTTAAATCTTGCTTAAATCTTCTGCATTCAATTACTAGAAAATAACATCATTTTGTTCTAGGAGCCGTTGACAACATGAAGATTTTGATTCAGTAGTTTCTATGACATGTAATTTTATCCCATTAGATATTAACTTGCATAGTTTGCCTAGCAATGATACATAGTTTGCCTAGCAATGATCGATGGACCTACATGATGCACATCGTTTGTTGAGATTTTTCTGCTTATCCCAGGTTCAAAGTTGAAAATTTTGTCTCTTGTCTTGCACTAATTCACTCTGTTGCCCCCACACAACCCTAAGACTCTAAATTACTCGTTCCTGGCGTCATCTCTTAGGTTGTTTTCTTTGTCACCTTATGTCATGTGGACTTTCCTCCTTTTCCTTCGTAATGAAAGCAAGTTTCGTGGACCTATAAGTATACCCTCCTCTTTTTAGACTTGATCCCCATCTGGATGAACGGGCTATAAGTAAATTACATCATAATATTGGCTTGTCTCCAGCTATAAACAAGGCAATTTGCCAAAAGTTTGCTTGTTATCATTCCAGAGACAAAATTGGCTTGTCTCCAGTGAAATAAGGCAATAGCCTTTATGCTCATTTCAGTGAATTGCCAAAAGTATACTCGTCTATTGTAAAAACCCCTTGTCCTTTCTTTTTGGGGTAAATTTTGATTCAAAAATCTTCGCAGTATTTGCAGCATTAGCAGACTGGCGTTACAGCATGCAAAATCTCCCTTCGATTGGTGGCAATGTTGCTTTGTATTTTTGTATAGATGCTAAAGATTGTCTATAATGTGCTCATATGTTACTCTTGATATAGTCACTGTGACTTAGATACTTTTGCTTTCTCTAATGACAATTGTTTATTCTTATTTGCGTGGCTACTATGGCAAATCACTGTTGCGCCAACTTACTTGAGATAATCAATGCATCATAACACTAGTAATTCTAACATGCTAAGTTTAGGAAATATCGACAATCTCAAGCCACAAGCTCTCACAACAACCGTATAAATTTAAGCTACGCTACCACTAACACAAGCCAAAATACAATCCCAAGACTGACTTAAGTAGCAAAACTCTAGAAGTTTAACAAATAACATACTAAAGTAGTCTAACAAAATGATAGCCCACGCGAAGCAAGTGCGGGGCTTACCGGATCCATCGTTCGCTCTGTCTGTCACACTTCTTGAGTCGAAGTGTCAGCCTGACCTAGATTATCTGTGGGGGAGAAAAAGAAAATAAGAAACACAGTCAGCAACACCGACTGAGTGAGTAATAACATAAACCATAGTATTTATTTGGGACAAGTATAGATAAAATATCATGCATTTCATAAAGTTTTCAACAATACGCTATTTAAACCAATGTTACAATTTGTGGATGAAAACAATAAATTCAGCATGTAAAATCATCATGATTCAATAGTTATCTCTATCATATCCTTTTTGTTTTATAATGGGAAGTACTTAAACAAGAGTCGACATGCATTTAATGGATGTGGTTACAACATACCTTTATGGCACACATGAAAACGAAATATACATGAAAATTCTCGATGGATTTAAAATGCCTGACACATAACTCAAAGTCTCGGAATATATTTTCAATCAAATTGTAAAGATCTTCGTATGGTCTAAAGCAATCAGGAAGAATGTGGTATAACCGCCTTAATGAGTATTTATTAAAGAAAGATTATATAAATGATGTCATTTGTCCATGTATTTTTATAAAGAAAACAACATCGGAGTTTGTTGTACTTGCTGTATATGTTGATGGTGTAAACCTTATTGGAACTCCTACAGAACTCCAAAAGGCAATTGATTATTTAAATGTAACGACTCGGCCGGTCGTTCCGAGAGTTATAGCTTGTTTCCCCCATTTTTGCTTCTTTATGTGTTGTTCAGCGGTGTTGTGTTGTATCGGGTAGGTAGTTTTAGGTTCGGAGTAGTTTCGGAGTGAAATGAGACACTCAATCTCTTATTTAGAAGGTTAAGTTGGAAAAGTCAACCGGATATTGACTTATGAGTAAACGATCTCGGATTGGGATTTTTATGGTTCGGATAGCCCTATTAGGTAATTTTGGACTTAGGAGCGTGTCCGAAATGTAATTTGGAGGTCCGTGGTAGAATTAGGCTTGAATTGGCGAAATTGAAAATTTGGTGATTTTCGGTCGGCAGTGGAAAATTTGACATCGGAGTCGGAATGGAATTTCAGGAGTTGGATTAGATTCGTAGTGTCATTTGTGACGTTTGTACAAAATTTGAGGTTATTCGGACGAGGTTTGATAAGTTTCGGCATCGATTGTGGAAGTTTGAGGTTTCAAGTCTATTAAACTTAAATTGGTGTGTGATTCATATTTTTGTTATTGTTTGATGTGATTTGAGAGCTCGATTGAGTTTGTATGGTATTTTAGGACTTGATGGTACCTTTGGTTGAGGTTCCGGAGGCCTCGAGTGTGTTTCGGGGTGAGTTTTGAGCTAGTCCGGGCATTTCCGGAACTCGGGTATGGTTCTGGTGCTTTGAATTTTGCGGATCGTATAATTCTTCCACGACCGCACTCCGGGGAAAAGTTCTGCAAATCCGTTAGTCTGACTTCGGAAGCCTATATCTTTTGATCTACAAGGAATTTTGAGATGATTCAAAAACGAAAGTTGTATCCCTTCGTGTCTAGTTTCCAGAAAGTAAAGAAGTCACAATTTGGACATCTGTAGAGAAAGTTATGGCCAAAATACTAAAGTTTGGCAGTGCAGCCACCAAAAGGTGTGGCCGCACCATTTTTTCACGACCGCAGGACCTGGGAGGCGCGACCGCGCTTGGAATTTCGCGGACCGCATAGTGGGAGTTCAGAGGGTGCACTATATAAACAGGGTTTAGGGCATTATTTCACATTTTGGACCTAGTGAGCTCGGTTTGTGGCGATTTTTCGTGGATTTTTCAAGAAATTCATTTGGGTAAGTGATTCTAACTCGAATTTGGTTAATATACATGAATATATCAATGATTTCATCATCTGATTAGTACTTTGAGGTAGAAATTTGGAAAAAAATTATAGAAACTTCATAAAATGAATTTTTGGGATTTGAATATCGATTCGAAGTCGGATTTGAGTGAAACTAGTATGGTTGGACTCGTGAGTGAATGGGTGTCCGTAATTTGTGACTTTTACCCAATTCCGAATCGTGGGACCAAGTTTGAGCCAATTTCGGGTTTTTGGTCTAAATTGATAGTTTTTCTTATGGAATTCATTCCATTAGTGTATATTGATGGTATTGTACTGATTGTGAATAGATTCAGAGCATTTGGAGGCCGTGTCGAGAGACAAGAGCATCGCGGGGTAGAGATTTGACCGGTTTGAGGTAAGTAACGATTGTAAATCTAGTCCTGAGGGTATGAAACCCCAGATTTCGTATTATTTTACTATTTGAGGTGACACACATGCTAGGTAACGGGCGTGTGGGCGTGCACTATTGGGGATTGTGACTTGGTTCGTCCCATAGCAACTGTAAAGT